TGCACTATATTTTTATTCCCTCTCTATGATGTGAGCATTGTTTTCTGTAGTTTGTGAAGGTTGAGTTGATAAAACTCTTAATGAATATTTGTAGCCCGTATGGGTGGAGTGTTAATCTTACAGGAACACTCTCGACAGATTTCACCTATGTGATGTGTGGAAGTAGGTCGCTTCCTATGAGAATGGGGCTTATTCTCAAATGCACTTATGAAATCGGGATAGCACATGGCCATAACGTGTTGGTTGTTAAAGCTCATGTCAACACCTTGATTATTATGTGTGAGCAGTGATATTTTTTTTCCTTAAGCAGTCATAGTTCAAGTCTGAGACCACTACGACTCTGGAGTAAAAGTTACGGTTTCACTAAGTGGAGGTTCAATGCAGAGCACACCTTCATTATGCATAGTAATCTTCCTTCAACTGATATACTCTCTTATCTAAATATTAAAATGAGTGGGGGATTGTTAGGTTATTAGTATTTTAATATTAATATTTGACATATTAAATTGCTTTTTTTTGGAGTTATAAGAATGACCGTTAATAGGCATTTGTGTCTTAAACTACCAATTTAATCATGTTATTAATCTTTGACTTGGTAGCCATGTAATGTCATTACTTTTGGCTGAATTCATTGTGAGATAAAAACATTCCAATAAACATTGGAATGGATAACTTCTGCATCATCCATTAGCATTGGTTATCCATCGCTTTATTTCATTCTTAATCCTCCATTTAACCTATGTAACTCTTATTGTAACCTAGATAACCTATGAAACTATTAAGGTCATTATCTTCACTATTTACTACCTCCATTATCGTCCTATTCATTACTACGAAGACTTCTTGTAGTATAAATAGTAGTGGTCTTCATTTGATTTGGTACACACAATACACAAGGAAAAAAACATAGAGTGAACGTGTTAGTCTAAAAGAGAGTTCTTATTAGTTGAAGGGAAGTGTTTTTTTTGTGGAGCTTTGGACTCAACTCTTGTCCAGAGTGTTGAGTTATAATTTGTGAAGGTTGTTGTATCCTGGAGGGGACAAGTCAAAGAGGATTACTGCTAGACCGGTGAAAACATTTGCTGCAATGGGCTTGAATCTCCTTAAAGAGAGCGAGATATCCGCGCCTCAGCTTGAAAAGATTGGTTTTCTCCATTTTTTATTTTCAATTGTAATCTTGTATTTTTTGTTATCTAGTAAGTTTTTCACTAACAATTTTTTCTCAATAGTGTAAACATAGGGGGCCCATTTTGTCATTTTCTCTCTCCTTAATAACTTGTCTATTTTTAAATTGACACACCTATTAAGAAAATTATTATTAACATAATAAATTTATCATTTTACCCCCTCCCTCCTCCCCCCAAATTCCCTCTATTAATTATGAAGTAGATGAACAAAAAGTTTAAAATTTTCAAAAAATTCTATCTATTTCAAAGTAATATTGAAAGTATGATATACATTATTCTTTGTTGATAAGTTAAGATGGACAAATAATTTAACTACAATTTAATAAATGGACAAAGTAATTGAAGTTTCACGTATAAGCTTTCACGTTATCTTTATTGTTGATATTTATAATTTGGTATAACACATGATATGAATTATTTCACTTTTTTTATGTTCTCTATAAAACGCTATATAATTGTTATATTTTACCAAAAAAACATTTAAAAGTATCAAGAAAACGCTAAAAAAAATGAAACATAAAAAAAAACACCAACGTTTATTCATTTGAAAATTGGTTATATTCGTCTTCATGCAAAAAGAGAGATGGATTGAAATTACCGATTTATTTCATATCTTGGGAATATTTTTTCTTTAAAAAAAAAGAATTCTATACTATGATTTATTTATTTTTCCAAAAAAAAGATGCCATAATCTATTTTAGATAAATATAAAAATTTAAACCAAATTGACGCATCTACACGGTACATCCCCATCTAAAACTCCTCAGGAGTGTAAACATAGATGGCCCATTTTGTCATTTCCTCTCTCCTTAATAACTTGTTCATTTTTTAATTGACACAGCTATTAAAAAAAATTATTAATATAGTAAATTTATCATTTTATCCCTATTAATTATGAAGTGCATGAACTAAAAACTTAAAATTTTCAAAAAAAAATTGTTCTTTTTTAAAAAGTTGATGGCGTCAGATTGATATATGTTATTCACAGTAACGTTTTAGGAGTAAAACGTTACTGAAAAATATGATTTAAAAGTAAAACGTTACTTCCAGTAACGTATATCAACCTAATGCTGTTAGTTTTTAAAAAATAAAATATACCCTAAAATGTATTTGTCCTTCTCGTGCTCTTCCAATCGCATGAGATGCAGCAACCCATTAAGTTCAATCAGCCTAGTTTTGTAAAATTTTAGAAAAATGTATTACTTTGGTAAATTATTTTATATAATGACTTAGTTTGGTTAAAAATTCAATTAATTACAAGTATGATATATATTATTCTTTCTTGATAAGTTAAAATGGAAAAATAATTTAACTACAATTTAATAAATGGACAAAGTAATTGAAGTTTAGAGAGAATATTTTCTTGAAAATGTGTATAGTTATAGTCCAATAGGGGAATCCTTGGCAATTGTTTTAATTTGTGATTGGTAATCAGTGAATCCAATGCTGCTATATATATTCTGTTTGAATATGTCTAGAATATTCTTCCATGTTTTTCTGTTACAAAATTGAATTTTTTGAAACTAGTTAAAGGCGGTGGGTTCGTGATAAACATATTAATTGGTCATTGTATTCACCACAGCTACATTCTTTTTTTCTTGGAACACAACTATATTATTATCCACCAATGAATTGAGTAGAAACTTCAGACTATGGTTTATTACATGTTACTATTAGTCGTCTAAAGTGGCACTTACAAGTTGCATGTGATATGATACATGCACACAACTATTATACATTATCATCAACTAATGAAATATTATATCCGTGTATTGCACGTGTATCTCATGTTAATTTTTTAAAATTCCACGCACACGTGCAAGTCCTATTTTGACAGTGGCATGTGACTATAGAACACAAGAATAATAATGGTGGAATACTATAGATCCACCAATGAAACTTACAGTTTCTTTAGCATTTTTCTGATAACTTGCAGAATGAGTCGTTTATTGGATGGTTCTTGAAAATGGCAAAACCCCATATCCCATACCTAGTGTTGATTAGGCCTAAATAAAGAAAAAATATATCTTATTACATAAATATTTTTATTATATTTATTAATTTTCTTGAAATAATATGTGTTTGTCTCACTCATTTGTAATTTCATACCATATATATTTTAAGTTAGATGCATTTGAATACATGTATTTTTGTTAGCAGACGAATTAAAATAGGAAGGGAGGCGAGTGAGAGAGTCGTGCGAATTCACTTGGATATAGTGTTCTAGAACAAATTTTATTGCATGACACTATGTATGTGAGTCCTGAGATACATGTAGCTGGTCATCGCGATGGATATATTCAAACTCCAAAATATAATAAGATTCGTCATATTGAAAACTAATATTCCCTCTGTCTGGAATTGTTTGTCATGTTGCGCTTATAAAAGTCAATTTGACTAATTTTCAAAGGTAAATTAACTTCAAAATCCGTGAATTTCGATAAAATAAAGGATGAACAGACCATCTGAGGTCTCCTATTGCATATATGATAGGTGGTAGAATATTGTATTTGCTCATCACATTTATTTTTCTTGTGAAATTTATCATTCTTTTTTTTTCTCCCACACTTCAAGTCTCAAGATATTTCAATTATTCTTTAAGTCCCAAGGACATCTTAATTAACATGATTATTTCATGAGCTTATAGCTTTTGACTTTTTAAATTTTTTTTTGGCTTAAACGAAAGTATTTTGATATATATATTATATTATATTTAACACACACAAAAATGCTTCAAAAATATATTACTTAAAAACACTTAAAATAAGTTAATTCGATAATTATCGTTATAAAGTTCCAAGTTAATTTAAAGTTGCTTAAACTTGCAAAAAAGTTTATAAACTTGATTAGGTCTTAAGTAGGGTCCTAAATGGCTATTTGTGCACTTCGTTCCATTTGAGAATCCTAGGCCCAATCATCAGAAATGGGCCAAAGGAAGATCAATTGGGTCAGTAAAATCAAAACTAAGATCTAAATGTTTACCCAGTGTGATACACTACACAAATTTCATAATAATAAGATTTTTTGGATAATTTATCTTTTTAGGTTTAATCTCATAACACTAACCTTCTTTGCGATTTGGATATCATGCATATCTCCTTAATTTTTTAAATCATTTATTCTGTTTACATACAGAAGAATCTCAATTATCCTAACGTAGATATTGAACAGTAATGTATGAAAAACTCAGCCAAAAACTAAAAGAGAAGAACAACTTTGTATAAGAATGGAAAATAATATGTAATTTAACAAGGCTAGTTTATTTAGACTATAAATTTGAAGCTCCTTAATGAGCTATAAACTCTAGTATCAAAAAGCAGTTAATTAGCCATCAAACTGACCATTCAATTAAGGGAAAAAAAAATTAGTCATTAAAAAAAATAAATTGGTTGTTACAGGAGTTTAATGCTGAACGAATCTTGATACATTATTGTACATATATTTTTGGTACACTCAAAAATAGTAAATCGACCCATTTCCCGAGCCCAATTTTTATGTGCGCCAGACTACCTTTTTACTTATGCTAACAGTTATCCACTATTGATTTGACATATTTCTTAAAAAACTACAATTATAAAAATAATTTTATTAATGATTAGAATAAATTAGGAATTAAGTACTGTAAAATTATCCATTGATTTCATAAAATGAACTGATATTGTTGGATATCTATTTTTAATATAGTGAATAAGTATCGTTAGACGGATGGAATAGCTCTTTACAACTCCAAAGAAGACCATATATAAAGGGACCCTTGAATTTTATAATGTGCAAGCTATATTTAAATATTATCAAAAATCAACTATAAGCAAGTTTGAATTTGAGATTGTAATGCTCTATTAAAGTATTTATATCACAAATTGATATTTACTTTGTGTTATGTTTAAGCAATGCCAACCTATAACAAATTATCTACACATATTACCTAACTTTTCTGCCAAGTAAAAAGTGCCTCCCCCAATGATTACAACAACAGACTTTATAAGGTGTAACACATGAAAACATTACAAGTTCAAACAATGTCTAGTTCTTTATGAGTAACAACATATAGTAAAGCAAAAAAGAGTTTTAACATGGAGTTGGACTACAAAACTAGTAAATTATCTATTAGTTAGCCCTTCAACTCTCCAGGTTGAACTTCAGTGTCTGGTGACTCTTCATAGGATATTGAGATCAACTCCGACCTGTATTTATCATCTCTTGCGTCGTTAAGAGATTTCACCACGTTCTCGTAGTTGGAATTTACAGGTACAGATTCAACAGAAGGATCTCTCTCTGGTTCACTATATGATATGGCGATTAGTGACTCCCGAGTCACTTCTTCAGAAATTTCCTTGCCAGATTCTTTCTTATCCATAAAATGATTCTCCTTCTCTGGTAAAATTACAATACTGAATGAAGATATAGATCAGTGAGACATGATATACAAAGAAAAACTGTAGTAAGCAGGAATAATAACATCGGTAAAATGCAACAAACATCTTGATGGACAAACAGGCAACGAAACATCAACAACTAATACAACATCAACATTATTAGATTTCAAATTCAGATAATGCTTATTGGTTCCCTCTTCAAATTCTACCACTTTCTGTGTCCTAAAGCAAAACTTCATGGGGACTATATGCACTACATTAAGTCGATCTCATCAGTTCACCACATGGAACACATGATTTAACATATTAAAGGCTTTAAGAGCCCCGTACTTCATAATCAATCTTTTGATCGCTAGCTATTTCAATATCAGTGTTCTTCAAGAAACGTTATAGGTGAAACATGAGTGTGCCACTAGGCCCAAAATAACATAGACAGGGGTTGTCAAGATAGAGATACATCACTTTGAGACAAAAAGGAGCACTTGGTTCCCACATAAACCACCAAACTTGAAAGTTGAAACTATACAAACGATAAAAAGTAAAAGGAAAAGGGGTATAATCTCACAAACTTATACATGTTATACACTTTCTCTAGAGAATTCTATAAAACGCAGCATGATTAAGAAGATGAACAAAAGAACATGAGACTTGCAAAAGAAGAAGTAGAGCAGCAGACTACTAAAGTTTGTTTACGGCATTATGTTAAGTGGAGCCACATCATAAGATCACTTACAACCACCTCTTCTACCAACAAAGAAACCAAATTCCCTCAGCATTGTATCCCTTTCACATGTTTACGAAATTGCACAAACAAGCTCTATCAATATTCTACCTTCTTAGCTAACTAGCGGATAAGTCTTAGGAAAGATAATAATATTGATGAATCAAATGTAAGATCCTGTTTACATTCTCAAGAAGCTAAACTTAAAAGAAGACACAGAAAGTCTAACATACTGAGTAGGTAATGCTTGGCCAACTATGTGAGTCCTATTGGAAGAAGTACAGAACAAAGTTCCAAATTCAAGAAACATGCATAAACAACACCATCACGTTCAGCTTAGTCTCCCTAACTATCCTAAACTTTCACCGGCAAAAGAAAAGAGACCTTCAGAGTTCCTACAATACCTATAGTGTCTTGGGAAACACATGTAGAAAAAGGACAGCAACTCTAACCAGGCGAAATTCATGCCATTAATACTTATGTTCAAGAACAACATTAGAATTTCAGGTATAGCAACTAAAAATTTTGATAAGCCACAAATTTTTCCATCCCTTAAGAAAACCTAAAAGATCCCTCTAAGTGGAAACAACAAAGCATTTAGGAATAAAAGTACAGTTGTTACCAAGTCAAACTCAAGATCCTGAAACAACTTCAAGGAAAACACAAAGGACAGATCATTTCATGAAATGATTTGAACCCTGTACTAAAACCACTATGACCAGAAAACCACAATACATAGTGCTTTAAGAGCTCAAATGACATGACTGATAGCTGGAATGCTATAACAAACAACTAGGCAAGCATAAGACCAAACCAATTTTAGTTGCTATAATTAAGTAACAACCATTACTTTGAAGGGAAAAAACTCTTTGCAAAAGGGGTTCACCTGTTATAACATCATGGCCATTCTGTTCTTTGAAACATCTTTTTTCTATCTACATAATTGACTTAGTCAAGACTCATCCAAAAAAAATCAAATATGGGGATCATGATACTCATTGACCCCTTCAGACTGGAAACTCTGTCAACTGGCTACAACAAGATCATACATAATATACTGAAAAAAGCCCACAATATTTATCAATCAAGAGATTTGTTGAAATAACCTAGAACCCAAAACTTGCAGAACATTCCCTTTTGTTATTCCAAACAACTTTTTTCCATCTAATTGACTTAGTCAAGACTCATCTGAATCAAACATGAAGATCATGATTGACCCTTTCAAACTGGAAATCTGTCAACTGCCTACAACAAGACCATAATGTGCTAAAATCCCCATAACTTTATCCATTACATACCCCCACAATTTGCTGAAACAACACAGAACCCAAAACTTGCAGAACAATACAGAAAAAAACAAACAAAACCTTTTTGAAACCCCCCTTAAACCAGCATAGTTGACCAATCTCATCAAACAACAACAAAAATCAAGAAAACTACCAAATCCCCCATATGCACCCCCAACCATCAAAAATCCAAGTTAAAAGCTCATGATTTTGCACAAGAAGAAAGGATATAAGATAAAACAGAACATAAATTCATTGATTCGTTACATACATGTAAAAGATTTAGCGAAAAGAGAGAGAAGAAGAGGGGCTCTGTTACCGTTCTTGAGTCTTGAAAAATGCTCCGAATCAGTTCCAGCTCACACCTTTGTCAGCATATTTCATGTCTTTATACTAATTGCTAGTGGCCTGGCCTTCACCTCACCTACACTTTTATTTTATTTTCTGTGTGAATATAATAAAGACAACTTGGGTACACGCAAGTTGCACGTTTTTCCAAATGTGGAAAATTATTTGTTCACATTTCAAACTCTACCATATTAATATTAATAGTTTGATATGGTCTATAAGAATATATATTTATATTATTTATGAATTAGTTTATGGTATAAATAAAATAGCATAATGATAAAATAAGCGAAAGATTTTGAGGGACAATTGCGTGCAATAAAATAGTTGGCATTACAAATATCATGAATTTGCATGTCACAATAAAATTTAAAATTTCTCTAAATTAGTAAACGCCATAAGATAATATTTTTTTCCTGATCCTAACTAAGCCCCGTGGAAAAAAATTACTGATTTTGATGAAAGATAATATATTCTCGAAAGATCTTTATATAAATACATGTCTCATTAATATTATAAATTAATTATTTCTTAAAATTATAAAAATATCTAAAACAATTTGGTGGTAATTTTGTTGATTATATGAGATAATTTAATGAAATATGAATTTTTATAAATTAAATTATATATATTTAAGAGTTTGTTGTAGCTATAATGACAATACTTATCTTAGAAGAAAGAAAGAAAAAAAATATATATATATATTATTATTAAGTTTTGGGATTAGTATTTCCATGGGATCTGTTTTTTGCTGCCAAGTTAGCTTTGTTTCCAGAAAGTGCTCCAATATTTTTTTACAAAATAACTTCCAGTTTTAATCCAAAGTAATTTAGTATTTCATTTTTGGCAAAAATTGAAAAAGAAAATTAATGCTGTTAGTTGATGATTTTTAGTTTTTCTTTTTTTTTTAGAAAATGATAAGAATTAAAAAAAAGCACTTTTTTTTAAAATGACAAAGTTGATTAATGAATTCAAATTTTATCACGAACAATTTGTGTAAGTAGATAAAAAGAGGAAAGAAACAAATTATTTTTCTGCTGAATTTCGTGTCGTGTTTAACTAGCATATATATAATTTTTTATTATAAAATAAATTCAATTTTATCACTAACAACTCGTGTACGTAGATGAAAAAGGATAAAGAAACATATTATTTATCTATATAGTATTGTGTCGTATTTAACTAGCATACATAGATTTTTCGATTATAAAAGATACCAAATTGTATCACTAACAACTCGTGTACGTAGATGAAAAAGAGTAAAGAAACACATTATTTATCTATTTAGTTTTGTGTCGTGTTTCACTAGCATACATAGATTTTTCGATTATAAAAGATATCAAATTGTATCACTAACGACTCGTGCACGTAGATAAAAAAAAGTAAAGAAACACATTATTTATCCGTCGAGTTTCGTGTCGTGTTTCTATAGTTTTTTTCAATTATAAAAGAAATCAAATTTCATCACTAACAACTCGTGTACATAGAT